CTTATTCTACAATACCGTGATCTTAGTTTTTTAGTATGTAGAATTACCTTGTGGTCCTCAACATTCAAGTTATATTAATCATGCTCTCATGGGTTCAAAATTGGCCCAACCATGGACATAGACTTGTGTTGTAAAAATGTCTTAAATATGTTCTTCTGTGATAGTTAAAGACCAACAAGTTACAAATTTGGCATGAAAAATTACTTTGTGGCCTTATCATGGAGGTTACTTAATTAGTTTCTTTTATGAAACGACAATGCCAAGAGTTTTTAAATTTAATATCTTTTGTCATTAAGCATTTCAGCAGGTATCTACAAGGAATTCAAAAATAATACAACTTTCATAAAAGATAATAAAAAAAAACAAACAAAAAACAAACAAACAAATGTGATCTTTTTTAACATGGGCAAAATAAAAAGTCTGACCTTTTCTAGTATGAGTGACCAAGGCATTTATGGGTATTTAAGATTTCTGTCCCCAGCAGAGCCAATTGTGTTTAGGCCTGCAGTAATTGTTAATTGTATATTGCGTCATTGCATTTAATTAAGAAATGTTTTTGATATAGGTCTAATTAAAAATCCTCACCATGAAAGTGTTAATTTCTTTTACTTTCAAAAAGAACATAAACAACTGCACTTTTAACATGGTATGTAAAGGCAAATGTATCAGGGTAAAACTGAATTGTTTAATTGTGAATGAAAAATACAGCAAGCTTATTTGGAAAATTTAATGATTTTATAACATGGCATTTTTATGTGTATCAGTTTCTAGACATGTTTGTTATGAAGAATGTCAAATATCCGGTTAATTCAATCTTTGTTATCAGACCCGCATGGAAGTTCTGGAGGGACATTTTGTTTTTGTTGTTATTTTGTTAAAGTTATCATCTTTTGTGGGGGAATGCTTCTCCATTATTTAGAACATCGTTCATTTCTGCTTATTGTTCTCAATATTGATATTATGATCTCGTATGTTTAAAAGTGAAGTGTTTGGTGCTTGTTTTTCACATTTTGACAATTCCTTCAATACTAATACATGGATAGATACAGAAATAGTTCATAAGCGGATTGAGGATACTAAATTATTCATTCATTATTTATTGTTTTATTTACAAGGTATTTAAGTTTTTTGTATTTGTAAGTGATTCCCATGTAACTTACTTGATTACTACACGTCTGCGCACGATGTACAATACACGGAAGTGATATGTGTACAATATACGGAAGTGATATGAACTTATGCGACGGATAAGTTGATGAACAAATCAGAGGGGGAAACGCATTAAAATTATGATAGGTTTGCTAAAAATACCTCCCCCCCGCCCTCGCTTCAGAAAGAAACTTTTAAAAGAATTGAAAAATAACACAGAAAATGAAAAACCTAAACATACACGAAAACGTAACGTAGACGGTACCGTTGCCATAAGATAAAACCATTTAAATTTTGTGTCAGTGACATGGTGCAAAATTATTTTATCTACATGTATATAGAAATAAAAATCCAGCAATTATTGTAAAGTTACTACATTGATCTTATCAATCACGTTCAGATTCCTCCAAGATTCTATAGAACAATATTGTACAGGAAACAGTAGTCTTAGTTACTGAAATCCTTGGTTTAAATATTTATCAAATCATCACAAGGCTTGCAATGAATTTTAAATATTTTAATGTTACGAAATAACACATCTTCCTCGAGCACAGAAACATGGTAAGCTATTTATATATATACAGCTACGTGATTTTCAAGTCGTTCAAACTGCGGATATTAAACTTTTATTTGTGAAAGCACAAACCAACCTGAATCCAAACAATCACGAAGTGCAAAATTATCATTAAATTTTTCTTTTAAAGATATACTACGCTCAAAGTTGATATTAGAAAATATCGAAAATTGCTACACAGTCTCTTTGTAAACCTAGAATAAGCCTCTTATGATCTGTTTGTGTTCGGGACTGTGTCTGTACAAGTGATCATGAATCGTTTGATTGACAGGTTTTATTGAATGTTTAGAATATATTATCGTTTTAACGCTATTATTTGTTCCACTTCAGTTACATAATCTTAATTGGTTCTAATTTGTTCAAAGTGTGGGATCATTGATTTGAATTTGCATTATTTTTGTATATAATTTTTAGCTCGACTATTCGATAAGAATAAGTAGAGCTATTGTAGTACCCCGAGCGTCGGCGTCCGCGTCGGCGTCGGCGTCGGCGTAACCACTTATGTTAAAGTTTTTGTAACAATTTAAATATTTTCAAAGTCCATTGACATATGGCTTTGAAACTTTGCACACTTGTCCACCATCATTACCCCAACCTGTAAACAGGAGGAGGTAACTGTATCAAGCATTTTGACAGAATTATGCCCCTTTTTCGACTTAGAATTACGTTAAAGTTTTTGTAATAGTTCAAATATTTTCAAAGTCCATAGACATATGGCTTTGAAACTTTGCACACTTGTTCACCATCATAACCCCAACCTGTAGTTAGTAGGAGGTAACTCTATCAAGCATTTTGACAGAATTATGCCCCTTTTTCAACTTAGAATTTACGTTAAAGTTTTTGTAATAGTTCAAATATTTTCAAAGTCCATTGACATATGGCTATGAAACTTTGCACACTTGTTCACCATCATGACCCCAACCTGTAGACTGGAGAAAGTAACTCTATCAAGCATTTTGACAGAATAATGCCCCTTTTTCGACTTAGAATTTACGTTAAAGTTTTTGTAATAGTTCAAATATTTTCAAAGTCCATTGGCATATGGCTTTGAAACTTTGCACACTTGTTCACCATCATGACCCCAACCTGTAGACAGGAGGAGGTAATTCTATCAAGCATTTTGACAGAATTATGCCCCTTTTTCGACTTAGAATTTACGTTAAAGTTTTTGTAATAGTTCAAATATTTTCAAAGTCCATTGACATATGGCTTTGAAACTTTGCACACTTGTTCACCATCACGACCCCAACCTGTAGACAGGAGGAGGTAACTGTATCAAGCATTTTTTTTACTATCAAGCACTAAGAATAGTCGAGCGTTGCTGTCCTACTGACAGCTCTTGTTCGTATTGTACGAGTAAAAATGTAAAGTTGACTAATTGATTACCATCGATACACGTATTTGTTTATTTTTATACCAAAGTTCTTGCTATTGATACATTTAAACGCCTAATTCCAATATTGTTATACATAAGGACATTCCAAGAATAAATGATCAATATCTTCAATGGCAGATGAACAAAAAAATCATAGAGTTCAGTCGGATATTTCACATTTATGTAAAAAAGAGGATGATGCCAAATATCTATGGATAAACTAATACTGCAAATTTTGAAGTTCAGCGTCCTTGAAATATAGAAAATGCTGTTAAGGTTTTGCTCCCATTTAGTTTAGATTTACATTTTTCACCTAGTTTAAGTTTTGTTATTTGTAAAAAGGTTGTCCCACTCTTTTTAGCTCACCTGTCACAAAGTGACAGGGTGAGCTTTTGCGATCGCTTTTCGTCCGGCGTCCGTCCGTAAACTTTTACTTTAAATGACATCTCCTCATAAACCACTAAGCCAATTTCATCCAAACTTCACAGGAATGTTCCTTTGGTGGTCACCTTTAAAAATTGTTCAAAGAATTTAATTCCATGCAGAACTCTGGTTGCCATGGCAACCGAAAGAAAAAACTTTAAATATCTTCCTTTAAAGAACCATAAGAGCTAGAGCTTAGATATTTGGGATGAAACATCTTCTAGTGAGTGTCTACCAAGTTTGTTCAAATAAAAGCCCTGGGGTCAAAATTGGCCCCGCCCCGGGGGGTCATTGATTTTCCCTATATGCATATAGTAAAAACTTAAAAAATCTTTTTTTAAAGAACTCAAAGAGCTATGGCTAAGATATTGAGCATCAAACATGTTCTAATGGGTTTCTACCAAGTTTGTTCAAATAAAAGTCCTGGGGTCAAAATTGGCCCCGCCCCAGGGGGTCATTGATTTTCCCTATATGCATATAGTAAAAACTTAAAAAATCTTCTTTTAAAGAACCAAAAGAGTTAGAGCTAAGATATTTAGCATGAAACATGTTCTAATAAGTGTCTACCAAGTTTGTTCAAATAAAAGCCCTGGCGTCAAAATTGGCCCTGCCCCGGGGGGTCATTGATTTTCCCTATATGCATATAGTAAAAACTTAAAAAATCTTCTTTTAAAGAACTCAAAGAGCTATGGCTAAGATATTTAGCATCAAAAATGTTTTAATAGGTGTCTACCAAGTTTGTTAAAAAAAAAGCCTGGGGTCAAAATTGGCACCGCCCGGGGGGTCATTGATTTTCCTTATATGTGTATAGCAAAAACTTAAAAAAATCTTCTTTGAAAAAACCCTAATAGCTAGAGTTAAGATATTAAGCATGAAACATCTTTTAGTGAGTGTCTACAAAGTTTGTTCAAATAAAAGACCTGGGGTCAAAATTGGCCCCGCCCCGGGGGTCATTGATTTTCTTTATATGTGTATAGCAAAAACTTAAAATCTTCTTTGAAAAAAACCCAAATAGCTAGAGTTTAGATATTAAGCATGAAACATCTTCTAGTAAGTGTCTACAAAGTTTGTTCAAATAAAAGCCCTGGCCCGGCCCCAGGGGTGTCATTGTTTTTAACTATATGTGTATAGTAAAAACTTTAAAAAAATCTTCTTTTAAAAAGCCTAATGAGCTAGAGCTTAGATGTTTAGCATGAAACATCTTCTTATGGGTGTCTACCAAGTTTGAGCAAATAAAAGCCCTTGGGTTAAATTGGCCCTGCAACGTTGGGGGGGGGGCCTATATACAGGTGAGCGACCTCAGGGCCATCATGGCCCTCTTGTTTATAAATTGAATGTTACAGGTAAATTCCAATGAATAATTACAGAAATATCCATTAGCATAAATGAATTGATTTCTTTTACAGACTGGAACACATGATTTTATTTTTTTTACAGACTGGAACACATGATCTTATTTTTTTTACAGACTGGAACACATAATTTTATTTTTTTTACAGACTGGTACACACGAGCAAGAAGGGTACTATGATATTAATGTATTTATAGACACAATATTACGTGTTGTGTTTGAACATCATGGTGGTAGACGTATTGTGTTCTCAACCTTTGACCCTGATACTTGTGTGGCGTATGTATTTATATATATACTTTATATCTATGTTTGATCAATTTGACTAAAGTTTAGATCTACTTATTTCTTTTATGTAGATCTGATGACGACCGTATTTTTTGATGTCAAAGTTGAGCATAGTATATCTTTCATGTGATGTCAGTCCTGACCTAAGTAAATCTAAAAAAGATCACTCTTGTATGAAACTTGAAATGTTGATAATGGATTTTACTAAAAGAAATATTGTTGGCTCAACTATTCATGGACTTATAGGGAGAGCTTTTATACTCATCTAGGTGTTGGCATGACACTTTTGTTTAAGCTTTTGCATACAATGGTGTCACAAAAACTATGTGGAAACTCCACTTAATTATTTAAGACACAAAAGGAGGTCAGTGTCCAAGGCCCATAACTCTTAACATTGATTAGACAGAATTATGGCCCTTAATAAACTAGAAAATTTCTACAGTAGCTTCTTATTTTACTATCCAGCACTGAGGATATTTGAGCAATCTGTCCTACTGCATGTACTGACAGCTGTTGTTTTTAAATGGCAATGCATTAACTATTCCATTCAAAAACCTGTATCGTGAATTAAGAACAATGAGTTAAATAGATCTAGATTAGCATGTATGAATAACAAAGACACTAAACATTCAATACAAATGGGCAATAATGGTTTTGTTATGAATTTTGTTCACTGTTAAGATAAAGAAAACAGAATCCCTTAAGAAAGCCGAACATGGCAAAATTGAAAATGTTGCAAGCTCGGTTTGACTGAGCCTGTTCATGGATGGTAGTGGTAATTGCAAGCTACTGTCCGTGCCCCTAGTACAGGCTTAAACAAAATTCAACATTTAGCATGAACTGGTAAAATTTTGAATTTTTAAGTTATATTACTTTAAAGTGACATTTAAGTTATATTACTTTAAAGTGACATTATGCTCATATTTTCATAGTCAAGTTGAGTTGAATTGACTTTATATTTCAAAAGATTGACTGTCAAAATGGTGTTTGACCAACAGTTTATATTGGAAAACGTTCAGGGTAAAATTAAAAATCTGCATAGATTTTAAAAAGACTGCCCCACTCTTTTTATAAACTAAGCATTATACGTAAATTCTAACGGACATTTATAGAAATTTCATTCTGATCTGTGTGTTATTTATTGTTTATGCAAACTTGATTATTAACATGTTTTGATTTTCACCCGTTCACTCGCTATATACCCTTGGATGGGCATAATGTCACTTTAAGAAAATTTTTCAAATAATTATTTTTTCATTTTAAGCTTACGTCTGAAGCAGAATCGGTTCCCAGTGTTGTTTCTGACACAAGCTGACACAACAATGTATGAAACCCTATGGGGATATGAGAACAAGATCTGTTCCTATGGCAGCAGAATTCTGTATTGCTCACGATCTGTTGGTCAGTATATTAATTATTAGGATTTTGTTATTGTAATTATGAAGGTTAATCAAAATGGTTGTGATCTTGAACTTTTTGTTTTACTGGATTTGTTTTTGAAAAATTTATACAATAAAAGGTAAATATAAATTATGAACTAAGAGGTTGACTTCTTTTATATTTTATGCATTCTGTTATTAAGTGCTTCAAAAGCTGATTAGTGGGGTATCTTTCTCCAGCAATTAAAGCAACCATGGAATCTGCCAATTTTACATCTATATGGTTGGATGATGTGATTAAAACTCCTACCAAACTTGCACCTCTAACTCTTTTGGTCCATAAAAGCTTAAAGATATTATGTTTTTCGGTTATTATATATATATATATATATATATATATATATATATATATATATATATATATATATATATATATATATATATATATATATATATATATATATATATATATTTACAGTACATGTATGTATAATTTCTTAAAGGTGTCATTTATTTATATTTTCAGGGTGTAAACCCAATGTCACAAGTTCTGTTGAGAGATTTATCCCTGATTGACTATGTCAAGAACAGTGGCCTAATTTTGTTCACCTGGGGTGAGGACAACAACAATGCTGATGTTATTGATAAACTCAAGAAATTGAAGGTGGACGCTATAATATATGACAGGTATGAGCTTCTTGTAGTGTTTCAAGTGTACTTCTTACTATGATCATATACAGGCATTAAGATTAGGTTAATCAGGAGAATGGGGAGGCTTTGTGTGTGTGTGTGTGGGGGGGTAGCTTTTAGATACCACTTTTGTCCATGAACAGGCTCAATTAAACGGAGCCTGTAACTCCTTCAAGGTTTCCATTTTTTATCATTTTCTGGATACAGAACATAAAACATTGTGATTCGGCTCTCTTGTCTAGAACAGATATTTTCACTATGGCATCACATTCATATGATCAGGCAGCCTATGTACTAGCAGTTCACCATTTTGTTAATAGACATGCTACAGTTGCTGATACAGGCATTGATATTCCAGATATGTATAAATGGGATTTTCAAATAAATAGTGAAAGTATTATTGAAAAAGATTTTAAGAATAAACTGAAATGTAAAACAAAGAAGGAGATAAAGAAAAATATTTTTGATTTACTGTCAAATGAGAATTTTAAAACAAACAAAAAAGAAAACTTGTCATGAAAATTCAGTGATCCCAAATCTAGAATGGGAATATAGTCCTTAAATAAAGCAGACAAACATTAGTTTTTTTTCTAAGAAGGCAATACCCTGACCCAAAAAGGGTCTTAATTTCAGCTACACATAGACAAAACAGACATATTCATGGAAAATACTGTATAAAGAAGCGGTCTCCACTTGTTATCTCCACTTGTTGTCTCCACTTGTCTCATAGGTAGATTTAGCAGGCTAAAGGTTAAAGTCAACATCTTAAAAGTCGATATCAGTCACTCCTTTAGAGTGGTCAGTGACATTAATGACAAATGCTGTCTGGAATCTTTGTGGTGGCCATCTGGAAAATCAAATTGATAAAGGTCAGTTGCTATCCTGTAGCTTTGTGGTGGCCATCTGGAAAATCAAATTGATAAAGGTCAGTAAACAGAAAGAAAAAAACATTAATTGCTTGGGAATGGAAGCAGCTCACTGTACTTTCAATCACATGTTTCTATATCTCAAAAACACACATGTTTTTTTTCTTCATAAAAATAGACACTACAATATTTGTACAGTATAAACAAACAGGATGGAACAAAGTCCTTAATTCTGAATCAGAAAATCTGGAATATATGGCAGATATTCCTAAAAACAAAACCAGTCACGAGGACTGCCAATGTGACGCGGAAGTTGAACATTCTTGAGACCTGTTACCTTCCTGTAAAGACCAAACCTTAAAATTGTTTATCAAAACACATGTTAAATCTGACTGCATGGCTATTAACAAAAAATCTTTTAGAACAGAGGGATTTTCAAAGAAATCTAGAAAACTTCTCACAGCAGCCTCATGGTGTGCAGGTATAAAACAAGATACAGTGAGTGTAGTTGCTGGGAAAGGGAAATTGACCCATGTTGGGCAATTTTAATTCTGTAATGAAGGTTTGCAGTGTTATACCACCTAAAGCAGATTGCAGATCAATGCTGTTATCTGTTTTACCATCAGTTGACAAATTTCCTTTTGGTCAGAATAGATTTATTACAAGACAGTTAAAGGATGTTTTCAATTTAAGACCTCCAATTGGAAAATAAGTTCCAGAGTAGGTCACGTTGGTCTCATAAAAGATATGAGAAAACAGTGATTAAATATAGCTTGTAATCACATTATTGTTACTAAAGGAGGGTAAACAGTGTTAAGAAGTATCTTAACATTTATTTGTATATATATGTATAAATAGGATTTTTAACTAATGTATATATTTATATATATTCTGAGCAATACTGGAAACCTTCCACCCGGTGGAAATTGTTATCATCGGATAAGTAGGGATGTGAAATAAAATAAGAAAATTTAGGTATTAAATTAAAATTTTATGAATGTATACTTACCTAATGATAACATTGTTATACCCTCCCAATTTAACTTCCCTTGCTTGTTTCTCAGTCATGTGGACATCTTTCTTTAAAAGAGGATAAATTTATTTTTAGAACAGACAAACAGGTGAATTAAAGGTGACAGTTCATGATTAGTTAATGCATATGTTATCACCAGGTAAGTATACTTAAAATTTTCCAATTAACTATATACATTCAAATTGTTTCTATTAAATATTAAACATGTTTGCATATATATTTCAGAATTGACTGTTTCAAAACAACAAAAGAAAGTATATTCAAATTGGAGCACAAGAAAAAGTTGGAAAAATTATATGACCAGTTTCCATCAACAATTGATATGGAAAGTCCAACGAATAACCATGATATCCCTGGAACAAGTGCTCACCATTGATGTGAAAAATGTGTCGTAACCATAGAAACTTATGACATTTAATTTTTCATGCATGGCAACAAGATACTTCACTAATGCAATTCTTTCTTTACTGGGAGAATTATTTTATTCTTGTTTGTTATTTTAACAAACATTCCACTGATCGTTTTCAGAATTTTGATTATTTTAATTGTTCTTTGATTAATTTTCAAGTAATTATTTTGGCATATTTGCTGAATAATTGAATCTTAATAAGCTGCTATGTGGCATACAAAATGGAGAAGGTCCTCTGCTGATTTCTATAAAACTTCATTTACGTAAGGTTTTATTAAGGTTTAGGGGGTATATAGGAGTTAGCTTGTCGGTCTGTAAAGTTTGGAATGACCCCCAGGGATCAAGGTCACTGTTACTGAAAATAGAAAAAAATGGTTTTTCGGCCAATAACTAGTAAGGAATGAAATGTTGTAATCACACTTGATATAAAGTAAACTTATATGAAGACCATGGTTGTGATTACTTTTGGACCCCAAAGGTTCAAGGTCAATGTTACTGGACAATAACTAGAGTTAGGAATGAAATATTCTAAGCAAAGTTGGTGTATAGCAAGTTGGTGTATAGCAAGCTTGTATGAAGACTCTGGTTTGGATTGCTTTAGGGGCCCCTTGGGTCAAGGTCATTGTTACTAAAACTTGGAAAATGGTTTCCAGATGATAACTATAGTAAACAGTGAAATATTGTAAGCAAACTTGGTATATAGCAAGCTTGTATGTAGACCCTGGTTATGATTGCTTTTGGATTCTACTGGGTCAAGGTCTTTATTACTTAATATAGAAAAATAGTGTCTGTATAATAACCTGAGTAAGGGATGAGATATTTAATTAAAACTTAGTATACAACAAGCTTATGTGAAGACCCAGGGTTGGGATTGATTTTAGAAGCCCCTGGTGTTTAGATCAAGGTCACTGTTACTAACTATGTTTTACAAAAATAATGGATAACAGATGTTTATACTCTTAACAAGGCAATTTATTGTAATATTGGTACACAGATGAAACATCATAAAATATTGGTCGAGTTCCAATTTTGCTTCAGACCACTTCTTTTTGTTAGAAGTGAAGGTGAAGGGGGGGGGGGGGGTATGAATCACATTTAGTGTGATAGCTTTAATTTGTACTTAAAGGCCATATTGGTTTTTTTTTCCCAAACAGGATAGTCATAATGTGAACACTAAATACATGGTATCATGGTATCAAAGCACATTATGATAAATTACTTCTTTTGCTACTATGTAGCGTAAGATTGAGAAAACATTCTCCAGCTACTATGTAGCAAAGAGTCCCTATGCATATGATAAGGCATGTAATAAAATAGCTTTTTTTCTTTTTATATGCCCGAAAGGGCATATTATGTTATACCCCCTGGTGTCCGTCCGTCCGTCCGTTAGCAATTTGGTTTCCGGAGCATAACTTAAGTTCAATTTGGCCCACAATGTTCAAACTTTATAGGATGATTGCCCATATTGGGTAGAAGACCCCTATTGATTTTGGGGTCAAAAGGTCAAAGGTCAAGGTCACTATGACCTTAAAACTGAAAACAGTTTCCGGAGCATAACTTAAATTCCAATTGACCCACAATGTTCAAACTTCATAGGATGATTGTCCATATTAGGTAGAAGACACCTATTGATTTTGGGGTCAAAAGGTCAAAGGTCAAGGTCACTATGACCTTAAAATTGAAAACAGTGTCCGGAGCATAACTTAAGTTCCATTCAACCCACAATGATCAAACGTCATAGGATGATTGTCCATAATTGGTAGAAGACCCCTATTGATTTTGGGGTCACAAGGTCAAAGGTCAAGGTCACTATTTCCTTGATACTGAAAACAGTTTCCAGAGCATAACTTAAGTTCCAATTGACCCACAATGTTCAAACTTCATAGGATGGTTGTCCATATTTGGTAGAAGACCCCTATTGATTTTGGGGTCACAAGGTCAAAGGTCAAGGTCACTATGACCTTAAAACTGAAAACAGTTTCCGAGGTCAAAGGTCAAGGTCACTATTACCTTGATACTGAAAACAGTTTCCGGAGCATAACTTAAGTTCCAATTGACCCACAATGTTCAAACTTCATAGGATGATTGTCCATATTGGGTAGAAGACCCCTTTTGATTTTGGGGTCACAAGGTCAAAGGTCAAGGTCACTATTACCTTGATACTGGAAACAGTTTCCAGAGCATAACTAAAGTTCCATTTTGCCCACAGTGTTCAAACTTCATAGGATGATTGTCCATATTGGGTAGAAGACCCCTATTGATATTGGGGTCAAAAGGTCAAGGGTCAAGGTCACTCTATCCTTAAAACTGAAAACAGTTTCTGGAGCATAACTTAAGTTCCATTTGGCCCACAATATTCAAACTTCATAGGATAATTGTCCATATTGGGCAAAAGACCCATATTGATTTTGGGGTCACTAGGTCAAAGGTCAAGGTCACAATTACCTTAAAACCAAAAACAGTTTCCGGAGCATAACGTAAGTTCCATTTGGCCCACAATATTCAAACTTCATAGGATGATTGTCCATATTGGGTAGAAGACCCTTATTGATTTTGGGGTCACAAGGTCAAAGTGACTTTTACCTTAATACTGAAAACAGTTTCTAGAGCATAATTAAAGTTCCAATTGGCCCACAATATTCAAACTTCTTAGGATGATTGTCCATATAAGGTAGAAGACCCCTATTGATTTTGGGGTCACAAGGTCAAAGGTTAAGTTTATTATTAATAACTTAAGTATTAATCAACCTACAGCTGTAAAGTTTTATAGGATGAACAGCGAATTCCCATGTCTTACAAATGCTTTATCCTTACTAAAAAAAAACACTTTCGGGCATATAATGCTCCGCCTAGCGGTGCTCTTGTTTTTAACTTGTAAATGTATGCTCATTGATTGACAAATACTGATACACAGAAAAACAGGGCCTGTTGTATTATAACACCAATGTTAATGGGTGGTTCTCTAATATTGTATGGCCTTTCCTATATAAATATAGGAACTGTTAAACTGGTAAACATTTATGTTATAAGTGATTTATCTATTTGAAAGTTAAATTTTTCATCAAGTTTTGTGTGTTGTTGTTGTTTTTTTTACACAATTGTAGTCCAAAATATTATGGAATGGTTTTTAATTCACATTGTTAAAGGGTTTTTAAACAGTTATTAAATATTTATATCTATTCTAAAGAATTTAGGTATCAAGCAGAGGTCATTGCTGTAAGTTAGGTTTTAGGTCTTTGAGGTCAAGGCCACTGATTCTAAAAATAGATTATTACTAATATAACATTAATTTACAGGTATGTAGTTAGCTTGATAGATATTTAGTATGAATGTACATGTAGCTTGCATGGGCATTTATACTTGGTTGGGGTTTGAATTTTGCAAGGTCAAAGTCACTGGCATTGATGCTAGAACAGATTGTTTGTTTGTTTGTGTGTTTGTTTGTTTTCCTCATTCAACTTTATCATTGTATTCCAATGTTTTAACTGTGTGTAAGCAGCATTGGCAATTACATGTGTTGATGACTCTTGTATTCTTTTATACCAGTATAAAAAAAACCTGTACAAACCTTTGATGGATTCTGTAGAATACCGGTTCAGATTATTCCAGTATGCCACAAATGAGAATTGGAAATATTTAAAGAATCTCTGTTGCTGTTATATTTTTGTTAGTAGTGTTTCAATTGTTTGTTTGTATCTTTAGATGTTATTTATAGGCTCACATAATATTTATTTATTGTTTTTACATGATATTTGTAAACAAACAAGTTTTATCAATTCTTTAGTCAGTTTTTAGCAGATAATATATATTCAAGTTTTTATCGAGTAAAATACTTTTTTTAATTGTTGTTTATGTATTCACACTATTCTGTGTTGAATTCAATTGTGTTTTCACACTAATTTTAAGAATATACAGTATGTTTTGTTGTCTCATGTCTCGACATCATTTTATTTTATCCCACAATTCAAACTCCAACCATCAGCTCAGTTTGTTCGACTTGGGATATTTATACATGTATATACTTTATTCAGTATTCAGATATAAGACATATCTGAATATCATCACAAGGGCAGTTTAAACAGTAAATAAACAGTAAATAACAATTATAGTCATCAATATGATCTTTTCTGTAGTCACCTGAAACAAAATCTGACTGATCTTAATTCACAAATCTTTTATTTTTAACATGTATTATGTGTCCTTCCACTTCGTCGACTGACACTGGCCCCTCTACTTGTTACCCAGGCTTTCATTAAAATTCAATGTCATCATGACTTTCTGGATCAGTGGTATGAACAGTGCGAATAGGTCAGCATTTCTTCCCCTCTTTTATAGTTATATAAACTAAGGGATAGGTCAGTGTTATTATCAGTTATATAAACTAAGGGATAGGTCAGTGTTATTATCAGTTATATAAACTAAGGGATAGGTCAGTATTATTATCAGTTGAACAATACACAGAACTGTACATGTATTTGATAAAGTATTGAACTACTTTTTGAAAACAGTCAGCAAATGAAATAGTAGAAAAAAAACATGTTTTTTTGTTTTGTTGATTTTCTCTTGTTCATAAAACATGTGGAGGGTGTGTGTGTAAGGGGTGAATTACGTACATGATGGGAATGGGATGTGATTTGAAATAATAACATAATACCTCATTGTCAGTAAGTTCAATCAAACTTTCCTATGTTATTTTTTTGAGATTTAGAACGTTGATTAAGTATTTCAAGTTTAAAGTAGGTTTTGACTAAGAATTTTTTTATTATGAGTTTTTAGCTATTCCTGTTTGTAACACTGTTTATTTATATTCGTTTGTGTATACTGTATTGTATATCTATCACCATAGATAACCAGATAGGTAGTAAGTATTTGCATAATATGAGCCTGGTTAGACCAAACCAACATAGTGGGTTTGCAACCAGCATGGATCCAGACCAGCCTGCGCATCTGCGCAGTCCGATCAGGACCCATGCTGTTCGCTATCAGTTTCTCTATTTGTAATAGGGTTGGAAGGCGAAGAGCATGGATCTTTATTAGATTGCACGGATGAGCAGGCTGGTCTGGATCCATGCTAGTCGCAAACCCACTATGTTGGTTTTGTCATGACGCTGCTCAAATATAATGATGTCATCTGTACCAAATTTTTAATTTTTTAAATTTTTTATCAACTTTAGACTCTATAAATGTATGATTGACAATCTCTAATTTTATTATTTGATTTTTTTTGTTATATTTCTTTTTAAATTTTGATTCATTCACATGAAAGTTGTAAATTGAAATATTGACTTTTATTTTTAGCTCACCTGTCACAAAGTGACAGGGTGAGCTTTTGTGATCGCTTTCCGTCTGGCGTCCGTCGTCCATAAACTTTTACTTGAAATGACATCTCCTCATAAACCACTAAGCCAATTTCATCCAAACTTCACAGGAATGTTCCTTTGGTGGTCACCTTTGAAAATTGTTCAAAGAATTTAATTCCATGCAGAACTCTGGTTGCCATGGCAACCAAAAGATTTTTTTTTAAATATCTTCTTCTAAAAAACCTAAAGAGCTAGAGCTTAGATATTTGGCATGAAACATCTTCAAGTGAGTGTCTACCAAGTTTGTTCAAATAAAAGCCCTGGGGTCAAAATTGGCCCCGCCCCAGGGGTCATTGTTTTTCCCTATCTGCATATAGTAAAAACTTAAAAAACTTCTTTTAAAGAACCCAAAGACTTAGAGCTAAGATAATTAACATGAAACATCCTCTAATGGGTGTCTACCAAGTTTGTTCAAATAAAAGCCCTGGGGTCAAAATTGGCCCCGCCCCGGGGGGTCATTGATTTCCCCTATATGCATATAGTAAAAACTTTAAAAATCTTCTTTTAAAGAACCCAAAGAGCTAGAGCTAAGATATTTAGCATGCAACATGTTCTTATGGATGTCT